ATCGTGATGCCGATGATGCTGATGATGATAATGATGATCATGATGATGATGATGATGATGAAGTTGAAGATGACGATGATGATGATGATGATGTTTATGATGATGATGATGATGGTGATGATGATGCTGATGATGATGATGATTATGTGAAGAATGAGTATTCTGTTGACGACAGCTGTGCCGATTATATAAATGATGTTAGGAACAATACCAATGCTCATGCTAATTAGGTTACGACATATAACCGTCCGAAATTTCTATGTGAGGTTTTCCTGGTTGTTTCCCATTTGGAATGGCACTTGATGGAACCTTTGGTGATGGAAGTAGAATAGGAAATATATTAAAGTTTAATTAAGTATAGTTTTGTGGTCTTCTGGTCTATGTAAAAGTTTTCAATGTCTCCACTTTTGAGAAAGTAGCCTAGATGAGAGTTTTATTGGACATGACCTCTGCTTTAAAAGTAAATTAGCTCGTTGTTGTTTTGAATGTGTTGCACCATAGCATTGGGGTATATATTTAAAAACGACGCGTTTTAATTCTGTATTGGTAGAAATCTGAGTTAAAAAGCATGCACTGATAATTTTAAATCATGCTGCACGGTGTGACCAATTACCTTCAGACATAGCCATCATTTAAATTGGACACATGTTAATTTCGGTTTCATGTCGATCGAATCCAACTCGACACAAACACACACGGACTGTCCTATCCCCTTTGTACTAATGCATCTGATTATATGTGATGAAGATAGTAGCGAGATATTCCAGGGACGACCATGTTTTTGCGTCCCACTTCACTTTACGAATTAGGCGCCTGCAGAAACTCATTCCCTACGTACATCACACCTGGCTACTTTCTTCCAGAAACACGCTCTAATTCTTTGTGCAAAATAGACTGATAATGTGGTGATGAATCTCATTCTATTTCATTGATACATGCATGCATTTTGTTGACATCGCGAGAGCAATAGTGTTCGCACAATTTCGAATGTTCTTAAGGGGGAGTGAATCACTTAATGGACACAATTGTGTCTATTATCCAGGGGAAATTCGATATCTCAATCTTTAGTTTGGTGGAGTGGTTGAACGTTTTGTCACGTGATGGGCGCTTCTTATTCGGTGTGCACAAGTGTATCAAGTGTATCAGCCTACGGAAACCAGCATTCGAATGCAATCGATTGTGTATCGATTTCCTGTCTTACACATTTTGAGTCTCCACTTAAATGACACGTTCGATTTGTGCGCGGGAGACGGGAGCGCTTCGGGGGCACACATACTTTGAAGAATGATC